GCGTCGTCGTGTAGAGGGGGAAGAAAACAAGAAGCAAAATAATAGTCGTTGGGCTCGGAATACGCGTCGAGGACGGAATTTTGGCGCGTCGTCTGTGCGTGCGTGCGTGCACGCGCGCGTTACATCACGCGGCGCGCGATGAGACAGAAGCACCGAAGCAGATGTTTTTGATATTTAAAAATACCTACCGGACTATTTACGTGGCGCTATATTCTCGACTCGGGAAACCCCACAACGGCGTCGAACGCGGTGGACCTCGGTTTCCAAACCAGAATCTTTATTTATAATCTAAATATTCGGGGGAACAACGAATAATCTTTGAGAATCATATTATACGATCCTGAATACGCGTTCTAGGGACTCCCGATACCTACTTGATAATAATTCGATTAACGGCATGATCTTTCAAAGAGAAAATTCTGAATAGTAAACTTGTCGAACAAAGTCGTTCAATCTTCCGTGAGTCGATTGTAAGTGCAAATAGTCGCGTCGTGTATATATGGTCAGATGGCGTGGAAAATTCCAAGAAACGCGGTCATTTTTCTACGCGCCGATCCAGCATCTTGTACGCATCTCGCTCGTCTAGGTTAGATATGCAGATATTCCCATTAGGCCGTCCTCCCATCCAAGCCACGCGACAGAGACAAATTTAGACTAGATTTACGACGTTCCTGTGAGAGATATCCGAGTGCAAAGGGTTAACAATGCACCTCTTCAAGAGAAAGTCGCGAGCGTTTCGTGAAGGAGCGGATCTCTATGGGGAAGCTGACGTTGGTAGCTTTCCCTTGAAGCGAGGAACGAATTAATATGACCGACCGTACGTGGAAACTTTCCATTGTTTTCGTATTTTGCCCGTAGAGATATTATAGATAGAATAGAAGAGACAGAAGCTTTTCTGTAAAATATATATGTAATTATTAAAAGCATGAACGAAACAACCGTTCAACATAAAAATGTGTCGTTAGACAGACAGGTAGGCTATCGCGATTTTCTTTCTCCCTTTAGCTGTAGTACTCCTCGTCTTTACCTATAATACTAACTAATATCAACGTCCATAGAGTTAGCTCGTAGAGTTCGAGAGGGTTCGATCGCGACGAGATCGGTAATTAAATTCCGCCAATGTGCACGCTGCCGGTGGTAACGAGGCAGTGTTAATTTTAGCAGTTACTTTGATCGGTACGAACCTAGTTTGGATCGCGGGACGCCAGCCAAGCCTCCGACGACAATGATTCACCGCGTCTTCCTAGTTCTATCTATACCTCCTAGAAGCATGTGACTCGGTCGCATCATTCTGAAGTCGACGTTTGTATTCCCCCCCCCCCCCCCCTCCCCGTTAAATTTGTTCGATTAAGAAATAGAAATCGTGTCTAAATTCGAGCACGCGTTAGAATGCGGGAGCCTCTCTTTCGAATTCGACCGGTACGCCATGAAGAACCAAGCGAGAAAGTTGCTGAGCTCGCTCTCGAACAAACTATAAGAAATACCTCAGGTGATAACGTTTAACGAGCCACCAAGTACGTATTTCTTGTCTTGTAGTCTGAGTTATGGAAGAACCATTTTTAGAATTTAATCGATGAGATTATTCTAATACCCTATTCGAGATATTGATTTGGAACTTTGAACCGTCATTGATAAAGATCTTACCAAGTCACGGGTTAGACTGCGGATCTTTATACAAAGTTATATCATTGCAAATATTGAACCATTTAGCAGTTTGCACACTGCGCGAAAGACGCGATGACCACACGTTGAACGTTCGTAGGCGTTCGACCGCCTAAATCGATACAACTTTATTTATATATATATAGTAAATAAAAAAACCTACCTATTTCCTTAAAAAAAAAAAAAAAAAAAAGTCACGTCAATCGTTTTGAACGACATGGTAGTATGTATACGTAACGTTGCATTTTTTCTTGTTCCAGGTGAGATGTGCCTCCACATAGCGGCGTCCACGGGTCAGGTGGAACTGGTGCGACTCCTGCTGCGTCTCGGAGCGGATCTTGAGGCCAGGGAAGCGTTGGCGGGAAAGACGGCTCTTCACCTGGCCGTGGAACGCGGTTGTCGATCAGTAGTCGCGTTCCTGCTCCAAGAGTGCAGGCCCTGTCTGGACACGCAAACGTACGCTGGTATCACTGCCTATCAGATAGCTCTGTGCTTGGATAGCCAACTGGCGAGGGAGCTGGTGAGACTGGGAGCGACGCCTGAACCTCTTCCCGAATCAGACTCGGACAGTAGCGACGAGGACGACGGGACACCAATGAATTACTTACCAGCGATCTCGAGACTTAGGCAGAACGTGGTCGGTGTCCGAGTGTAGGAAATATCGATTGAATTTTTAGGCTCTGTCGTCGGTCACCCACGCTTTCTTTTTCTCTTTCTTTTTTGGCTGATCGATACCCAAGGTAGAGTATGTAATCGATTTACGATCATCCTCGAGGTTTACGACGAAAACGAGATATGTGTAATGTACTAATTGTTGTCGACTTTGAGGGTACCATGGAACGATTAGTATGCACATATACATATAGATGGAGGTACGTGAAGATTCGAGGTTCGTCGAGTACAAGTATGAGCGTGTCTGTATCGAGTGGATTAATCTCGTGATGCTTAGATACCAGATTTCCTGACATATGTATACGATTGTCGTCGTGAAAACGAAACAGAGACGAACACGAGAACGAAAGAGTAACGGAAACGTTATAAATTTAACATGATCGAAAGATGTAATCGAGTCTCAGAAATGTTGAACGCGTGCCTCTGTGAGGAACGTGTACTTGGATTAATGAGCGAACCAACGAGTATGATTGTAACGTTATGTTACGACTGCAAAAAGTAATGAATTTTACGCTTAAGGAGACCGGAAGATCTCGTTATGTAAATAATAATCGAAGAATACCGATTTTCGTTCCGCGTTGTGTGAGAATGTTGTGTGACGCCCGTACGCTTCGACGCGTCTTTAGATTCAAAGAGTTACATATACGTCGAAACGACGGGGGAACAAGAATATATATATATATATATATATATATATATGAACATTCGTAATTTGATTGTTTGCTTTAAGTTGTATATACGTATATTTATGTTAGGCGAATTTAAGAGACCGAAACAACACTTCTAAATGAATATATATAGAATATTTATCGAGAAGCGTACGAACTGTTTATTCGAATACTGCTTGCGATAGTGCCGTGAACGTTTATAAACTCCTACGCCCCGCCCTTGTTGTACATAGTCATCTTTTCTTAATGTAATAAACGTTTCGTTTTTGCGGCGTCGATAATAACATCAATAATAATAGAACGGTAATATTAACGTTGTTACGTAACTTGTCTACAATTATTTTTTTAGTAATAAAAAGCCTTGGTAAATTTACTGTGAATCCCAGAATTTCTGACGATTCAATGAAACCTTTAAAGCGCACCAATGTACAAACGTTTACGTTTCAATATAAATTATTTTGTTTATATCACGCCAAAGTGTTAATCGCAATTATCGAATAACAATCGCGCGAAATTCGCCAAGAGATACGTCGAAGGAAAGTCGAAACATTTTGCGCGGCTAATTTTGCGAGAGCCGACGTAAAAATGTGGAGCAAGGACCGGCCGTTGGTTATTTCGAGTATGACAACGTGTAATGGTCTAGGTATTCCAACAAGTCCGCAGACTTATTCCTTTTTGAGGGAGTTTGGTCTGCGAACCTCACAGGTTCCGGAATATATTTGGATCCTGAGGAAGAGGGGATGGTGTAACGAGGGTTTAATATAGTTTCGGGTCTGCGTATGTATTCGTTCACGTTCGCGTGAAACTTTGTCGTATTGAATCCATCTCTGATGAAATGTGAAATTTTGATAAGAAGCGTAGTTGATGCGAACAACATATAGGTTACCGCATAACCGGGTAACTGCATAATTTTCGTGAGAAGACAAAAAGAAATTCTGCGCCTTTGTTTAAGTGCAAATATTATTATGTTCATTCGATACCAAAAGTCTAATATATTGCATAAAGAAATATTTTTGCAGACGCATGCGTCTACGTAAACGAAACGGGGAAATATGTGATTCTAGAGATAATATAGCGGTTATCGAACTGCTCGAGGACGGAGAAAAATATGCAACACGACGAACAACTGGGATTCCCCAGTCACTCCAGTTCACCGATGGAAATACCAGGTTCAGTGGCGACAAAAGTGCTGCCAGATCTAGCAAACCTTGAACGTAGCAGTTTCAATCGCCAAAATGTCATTCATACACGAAATGCGCCTCTCAGTGACAGATTTACACTACAGAGCAAACAGAGAAACATCTAAAATACGGAATATTAAAAATATCATTCGTATCATCCATAAAAGTGAACAGAGTTTTTTTTATGAAATAATCAATTACATACTCTCATTTAACTTTGTTGTCAGAATATTCACATATTTGTTTCGAATCTTAAATAACTTCTATCTTGAAAAAAAAAGCGAATTGGAAAGATAATGGTTATTTTTAAAATTACACAATCAGACGTCGAGAAATATTATCGTCAAGGGCCTAATAGAAGGCCAATCCGTTACTGCTTACTACGTTCATAAATTTACTTTTAATAAATTATTTTTCCGCTTAGTAAATTCCAACTTTACAATTTATTAAATGTTCTTGCATTTGTAATATTACATCTATTTTCGAATAAAGACGTATCAGTAATATGCTTACTAAGAAAAAAGAAATACCATATTTGAATATATTTTGAAATTTATACGATAACGATTATTCGAGCACGTAAATGTAAAAATTAAATTCAAATTACATAAAATATAAGATATATAATTATATAAATGTATACGCATAAAGAAAAAAACACGAAGCATATGTATGTCGCAATCATAAAACGAGGCTTACCGACAATCGACACGCCATAAACGAGTACAACGTACTTACGAAACGAAGTAGTTAATAAATCGAACGCAATATCAGTTAAATTAAGCTTGAAGTTAGGTAATTATTTGTGTCTTGGATAAAGAAAAAAAGGGGGTGGGTGCATTTTCGAAAGTACTAGAAAATCGTGGAACATACTCGTGGGAAGGCACATTGCGTATTTACTAGTTTCGAGACAATCAAGGAGAGGCGCTAGTTGTCCATTTCTGGAGCTTTCTGAAAATCCGTACCGGCTCGAGAACTGAACCACTGAACATTCGCATCAATTCGCACGAGTCATCGCGTATCTTTGCGAGCATAAAAGAACAAGTCGTGGAAATAGAACGAAAGTATCGCGCTACTCTCAGTCTCAGGTCAAGCGTTATGGACCAGGTAAATATTTTAACAAACTTGATTGTAGTAAAGCGTCCTTTGGCTCGAAGAATCGTAATTTTAACGAACACTGTGTCCGATCGCGAATTCGTTAATTGAACACGCTTTCGTCGAGAAAAAATGGTAGTGCTCCTTGCACTCGTTGCTCTCCACGTTATTTTTCTCGCATGTTCTCATGTCGGATCATTTTGTGAGACGATACGTTACTTTTGATGGTTTATATTTATTGCTTTTAAAATATCCGCACATTCGTACTCGAACTTGAGAATTCTTGCCAATGTTTCTTGTTATGATTCTGCGACGAAATCAAGCTCACGAGATTATTCTACCTGCCTTTCAATTTGATAATTCCGAAAATACAATTACAGGTATCAGTGTTAAAAGAAAAAGGTAATTCTGCTTTACAAGAAGGAAGAGTTAACGAGGCTATCGAATATTACACACAGGCAATTCAATTAGATGGAAATAATCATGTACTCTATAGTAATAGATCTGCGGCGTATGCTAATGCAGAAAAGTATGAACAAGCTTTAGAAGATGCTGAAAAAACTATAAAAATCAAACCAGATTGGGGAAAAGGTTATTCACGCAAGGGCAGTGCGCTTGCTTATTTGGGCAGACTAGATGAATCTATTAAGGCATACAAGATTGGCCTACAGTTGGATCCTAACAATGCTCAACTTAAAAATGATCTGGCTAAAGTCGGGAACAAGAAACTAGCACATGCCGGAAACATTTTCAATACACCAGATCTTTACGTCTGTCTTGCAAATGACCCTACAACAAAGGAATTTTTTAAGGATCCGGACTATTTGAAACTTCTACAGGAGCTGCAAGCCAACCCGGAAGCTATGCTAACGAATTATCGGGATAATAGAGTATTTTTAACATTTTGCGCGTTGCTTCGCTACCATGATAAGTACGAAGCAATGGAAACAGATCCACCAGAACCTCCAGTACCTGAAAAAGAAACACCTAAACCTAAGAAGAAAGAAGAAGATAATCTTCCACCTGAAAAGAGAGAAGCTCTAAATGAAAAACAATTGGGTAACGATGCCTACAATAAAAAGAACTTTGAAGAAGCCCTTCAGCATTATAACAGAGCAGTAGAATTAAATCCTACAGAAATCATTTATCTATTAAATATAGCTGCAGTGTATTTTGAACAAAAGGAATATGATAAATGTATCGCTCAGTGTGAAAAAGCCATCGAAGTTGGAAGGGAGAATCGGGCAGATTTTAAATTAATAGCAAAAGCATTCACTAGAATTGGTCATGCGTACAAAAAGATGGGGAACTGGAAACAAGCAAAGGTGTATTACGAAAAGTCGATGTCAGAGCATAGAACACCAGAAATTAAAACCCTTCTTTCGGACATTGATAAAATCATTAAGGAAGAAGAGAGAAAAGCATACGTCGATCCAGTAAAAGCAGAAGAAGAAAAGGAGCTTGGAAATCAAAAGTATAAGGATGGAGACTATCCAGCCGCGATAAAACATTATACAGAGGCTATTAAAAGAAATCCCGACGATCCGAAATATTATAGCAACAGAGCTGCCTGTTATACTAAATTAGCAGCATTTGATCTTGGATTAAAAGACTGTGAAAAATGCGTTGAAATCGATCCAAAGTTCATCAAAGCTTGGATAAGAAAAGGGAAGATACTGCAAGGTATGCAACAACAAGGAAAAGCACTCAGTGCCTATCAAAAAGCATTGGAATTAGATCCGTCGAATAGCGAAGCATTAGAAGGATATCGGTCGTGCGCTGTTTGTGTCAGTTCGAACCCCGAGGAAGTAAGGAAAAGGGCTATGGAAGATCCAGAAATTCAAAGTATATTACGGGACCCTGCTATGAGACTTATTTTGGAGCAAATGCAGAGTGATCCTAGAGCTTTGCAAGAGTAAGTAGTTATAATTTTTGTGTTACATTAAAATTCAAGATTTTAAATTAAATTGTAATTTTTTAAATTTACAGTCACTTAAAGAATCCGGATATAGCGGCGAAGTTACAGAAACTCTTGGAATCTGGTCTCATTGCGATTCATTGAAGACAAAAGTATTTGTACTTGTGCATAACTTCGTGCACGACATTACATTGTCACCAAGTTCCTTTGGTATTATGAAAATCGTGCTGTTCGTTCTATTTTTATGTATTAGAAGTACGTTATTTAACCATACCGGCTGCTTAATGGCATTCTACATCTCTGTTCGAAACAGCCCCTTTTTTTTTATCTAAGTTTTGTTATACATACGTATCACTTTCGCGCGGATGCAGTGGCCTTCTTGGTCGTGGACCACTTTTGCATTGTAAATCGTATCATACAAAATGTTTGAATGTGTTTCGCGGAGTGTAACTTTATAAGAAACGAACGTATTACATAACTACAAGCTTTTGCATAACCTTTGCATAAAATTACACTTCCAACTGTAAATCATTAATATCGTCGATATCAAGTATGCGATAGTATCATAAATATGTTACACGGTCTAGATTAAACGAAATTATTATCTTAAACCTGATTTCCTCGATATACAAATTTCCGTGCACTAAACATGTACCTAGCTTTTACTTTTTAAGCAACATAATTTTCATTTAAAGTACTAATACTGTAATAATAGAAGAAATAACAATTCCAATAATTATGACATAATTATACGATATTTGTGTAATTTATTTAAAATTAAAATTTAATTTCGAAATACGATAAAAAATTATATGAAAATCAAACTGTTTTAATAATAATAGGCATCTCACGATATTAGAACTTTTGTTTTATATTTATTTATAGTTAATAGGTTACGTCAATTTAATTAGGTTTCTAAAATTTTTAGAGTGAAATCAATTTTTATTAGCAAATAAAGGATACACACATTAGCGTGATTTTAAACAGCGATACCAGATAAGCTTGCTAAAGAATTCAGTGGTAAAAGGAAAATTATTTGCCGTAGTTGTATCTGTAGCAAAGAAGACTTTGAAAAATATCTGTATGCTTTCACATTGTATCGTATCAATCTGATGTGTGCGTAACAGTCGCGTACTTATACCTACACGGAGTGATTACAGCGCAATCTGTCGCACCGATGGAACTAAATAAGCATGTGTAATCGAAGAGCAAGCCAAAAGTTTTAGCGTACGTACATGGGGTATACGAGCGTGTACACATAGAATGGTTAGTTCCATCGAATACCGCGGCGGTGCGACACTCGATGTATCAAAGTATTAACATTCAACACGACAGATTGTTGGACCCGGAACGAAACTATTGAAAAACTACGGAGGAGAGATTGAAGGCAGGAGAGTGTTGTGCAAATCGGTTGGTTTTTCGAGGATAAAAGTGTAATAAGAGCAACCAGTCAAGGACAGGGTGCTCAAAACGCAAGATACGAACCTGATCCATCCGAAGCGCGGTGGTCCGCCGCGCTGGTGGGTCTAGCAGACGACATGTTGGCTGCAGGGAGCACCTCGTCTCGGATGTTTCGGCCGCGAATTTCCTCGGGGATTGTTGAGTGAGGAGAGCGAGTAAATTCGGTGAAAGGGAGGCGCGGAGAGTGAAAAAGCAAAACCACTCGAGGGTGTGTGCGAAAAGAGGGCACACGGTAGGGTTCCCCGAGTGGTGGTTGTGCTGTGGTCGTCGTCGAGAAGCTCGCGAAGAGGGGTAGAGAGACTAGCGAGCAGCGGAGAGGGGGAACCCGGACGAGCCCTCGAAAAATTGAGGAGTCGAGGAACCGAAAATCAGAGAAAGAAGAAAAAGTAGAGATCGTGGGGGTTCGGTTCACGGTTCCAAGCTGGACGAAACGAGAATATCACTGGAACGATACTGGCGGAAATCGCGAGAGGCATAGAAAAGCGAAGAAAAGTGGTTAGTCACACGGTTATTGTCTTCCCTATCTACGGGAGCTGTCGATTCGCTCGAACAACAACGAGCTAAGCAGCGCACCGGAGACGATCTATTTTAACTTGTCGTTGTCTATCGAAAAGAGTAGGGGGGCTGGGAGGCAAGGCGAAGCAAAACTGTCGCGTACACGCGTCGCGAGTCCCTTCCTCCTGAAACGATTTCGCGTGTGTCTCGTGTCGTGTTCACGGGCCATCACAGGAGGCGCATCGGACGACAGTGCACGTCAACCTATTATCCCAGTCCCGGTCTCGCTCCCACTCTCTCGAGTCGCTCTCGTGCCTCGTGCGTACTCCCTCTATCGCAATTCTTGGCGAGTGTGTCGCGGTCGGTTCTCGCCCAGTGTTAAACGTAAAATTCGGAAGTGATTCGCTCCGATATATCGCAGAGTCTTTTCATTTCGTCTATCAGTCGTGTCTAGTCGTGCTTACGTTCGATACGTAACCGGCTCGTGCTCTCCTTCCTCGCGAATCAATTCGTCGTCGTCGTCGTCGTCGTTGTCGTCGTCGTCGTCGTCGTCGTCGTCGTCGTCGTCGTCGTCGTCGTTGGTGTCCCAGGTGTCATCATCCAAAGGTAGTCGTCACTCCTTGGAGAACTAAACATTCTACGAGAAAAGTAGCATCCTATACGTGGTGTCTCCGTACCTCGTATTTTAACACGGTACATCAACGTTGGACCAGCAGCACCGTCGCGACACACGGAGTGTGTGTGTGTGTGTGAGTGTGTGTGTGTATATATATATACAATATATACATGAATATGTAGCTATGGTTTCGCGGGCAGTGAAAGAAGCCGTGAAGTGAACGTGTCAGGTGCGAACCCCCAGTCAAGATATACGTGTGTACATTGATTGGTGTATGAAAGAGAAGAGGAAGATAGCAAAACGAGGAGAAACAAGGAGTATAAGATCGCGAGACAAAACCGATCGCCGTAACGATAGAGGCGGCGGGTGGAAAAGAGAGGGAGACGTCGATAGAAGGACGAAGCTCGAGTGTAAGCGCGACGGTGATAGATTAAGTATCGAGTGACAGACAGCCGACCGGAACGAAGGAACGAACCTCGAGGCAGGTAGACGTGGAAACGGAGTGAATCTCCGCGAACCGCGGGAGAGAGAGGGTGTTACTTATATCGAACGTCGCATTCACACGCGAGATAAACAACGCGCGCCGGTAGTGCTCGTAACCGCGAGCTACTCAGGCTCGGGGGAGGAGAAGGTATTAGTGGTGATATTTCTTTGAAGCGAGAACAACAGAGAACCAACAGAAGTGGAAGGGAAGAGCGAAGAGGGCGAGCCGCGCGTGTCTCTCTCGTGGTGTGTCATGGGGTGTTTCGGCAGCCAGAGCAGCAAGGCCAGCCAGGATGACAGCAAGAACCAGAAGAGGCGCTCGGATGCCATCACCAGGCAATTGCAAAAGGACAAGCAAGTTTACCGAGCCACTCACAGGCTCCTTTTGCTCGGTAAGTGACCGCAAAACCGCTTTTCTTTTCTTACCGTCGATAACCTGTAACAGAAAAACACAGGTGTGTGTTGCTTATAGATTTTCATGTGCCAAGTCTAGATCGGAAATTAAAAGGTGTCACGTTTAGAATTTAATTTGTTCTCGATACGAGTGCTTTCTAGTCCTAGAAACTCTTTTATGCGTTGAATCGGTTGAAATATTTTTGAAATATCGGTGTATGAAAGACCGGTGCTCTTATTGTCGTAACGTAACCATTTATTTTTCAACGTGTACATAGATTCTTGTAAACAAGAAACAGAAACTTATTTTCAAAAATCTGATACGATAAGACACTTTTATTCTCACATTCGCATTCGGTATCTTAAAATCTATAACGTACACCAGAAATTCCCTAACGAGACATTTTCTCTGTCGACTAGGACAATTATAATCCTACCCGCGGTGCACCACGTTCCTCGCAACGGATTGTTGATATTGCTATCGTTCGGCACTCGTCTCGTAAATGAACAGCCTAAGAACGAGATAGAAGGGAACAAACTTTCAGAGAATACTTTGCAGAAATTTTTACCAAATAAAGGTCATCCTAGTTATCAAATAGAAAGCTCCATTTAGTTGAAGCGAAGGGACTCTAGTCGTTTCTTAACCTCACTTTCAATTTCTACGAGATATTCGTTGCGTGTATCAATTCTTGACCTCACACGACCTTGAACATAATCGTATCGCTCGCTGTCGAATGCGTTCCGATCGGTGTTTTCCAAAGTAGGGGGCGTAACCCGAAGAGAGGGGGAGGGGAGGATTACACTATTCATGAAGGGTGAAGGGTGAAACTAAACTTTTTTTTTTATACTTTGTACATTTTTAGAGATGACAAAGTTCTAACAGAGAATAATTGGTAACTTCCGAACCGAAAGAGTGGGAGGGGGGGGGGGGGGGCGAAAGACAGAAGTTTGAGTCAAAACCGTTTAAACGATAACGTGTCTACTTTAGGGTACGTGCTCGGGCCAATATGTATAATTGTTATACATTTTTTCTTGTTCAGCTTCACTCTTTATATAACGCGATGGCTATTCGAAATTTTGATCTAGACACTGGATTCAACTATCTCACGTACCCCTTTTGGCTTTCCGTGATGATACTCTTTAGTTTTAAATCGCGGGTATACACGTGTCGAGTCAACTAGCCAGTGGTCGACACAGGTGGCTGAGTCGACTTCGATCTCGAATTTCGGCGAGGACACAGGCCACACGAACATTATCGCGATGCTCAGCAGCGCGTAATTCAATTTTATCGATTATCGTATGAGCCGGCGGCACCCACGAATATCCACCAAGAGCCGACGGCTCTGATGTTGTACCCTTTTCGTGTGCTCTTCCTCGTCTCCTTCTTCTCCTTCTCTCGTCAGTCAGAGTCTTTTTCACAGAGGCCAACGTGGGTGCGCGCGTGCGCCCTCGTCTCACACACGCACTCACACCATCCACTTATCGCGATACTTAACCCAACACCTAGCCATTACCTTCCTATTCTTCCGTTTATGTAGGTCGTCGTTCTAATTCGACCGTGGACGGGTGTCGTCCGTGTGTGGGTGTATGTATGCGTATCCGACTCGTAGCCTACAGCCAACGAAGCAACAGCTGTTGCCTGGATTGTTTCCTTGTCGTGTGCAATTACGATCCCTTTTGACGAACAGAAACAAAAATGAAAATACTTTGCTTGCGCGCGCCCGTCGAGAGGAACCTTTCGAATGATCGAGGAGGGATCGCCTGGGAGGAAAAAAAATATTAGAACCCCCCTATCGCTGCGCCCACGAAAGCCTATTTTCGTTCCATTTTCCTCGCGACGGTCTCTCGGTGTGCCGTTGTGACGGCTAATGCTGTTTTAATTACATATTACGCTGTTTAGAATGTCGCTTCTCTTACTCCTCGCGGTCGAAACACGGAATATTCGTGGCTAGGCTGCTTTAGGCAGTGTTTTATCTTAGTGGTGCCATACTTTTTTTTTCTTTTTTTCTTCTTTTCTTCTTTTTTTTTTTTGTACTAATGATGAAAATGGTAGAAACACCAATTGAAAATGTTATCAAGCTTCCAAATCATTCTGGAGTTTTGTTCGATTCGATTACAGAGAAAGGGATTTTATGTGACGAATCTTATCGCTAAATTCAAGGG